CTTGTAAAAGTATTTTAAACTGTATAAAAAAAATTGAAATCAATTGTGAAAATCCATTCCTTATATAGGACGTTCTCTCCTGTTTGGATTAATTGCCTAATTTCGACTAGAATTATTTTACCGATCAATCAAGATTAAAGATTGTTACATCATAATAAATAATTGAATTGTTAAAAGAGAAAAAAATATAAAGATTTATTTAATTATTACTTTTCTCTTTCATCATTCAATGAGCCAAACTCACTTTCTTTATCTTCAGGATTTGCATCAAGATGTTTTCCATTGCAGTCAAATTTCCTGAAAATGCTCGATTCAATCTATTTGTTCAGTAAATTTGGTTTATCTAGATTATTTTTATTATTATAATTGTAGTTGTTAACAATACCTTTTGGCTATTTTCACTAATCTTTGATAAACTCCTTTTACTTGATTATGAAATTTTTTAATATAATTATTATTAAGATCTTTGGATTAAACATTCCACGAAACTGCATTGGTGAAACCTGCAAAAAAACTGAGAACATTGTCCATTTTAATAAATAGTAAAGCTTTTGCATCACTGTTTCATTATTGACAAAGCTTTGCATCACAAGTAGTACTAGATCAGGATTTGAGGATCTGGAAATTAATTTGACGTAAATATAAACTTTGCATGTCCTCCCTCCCTAATATAGTCTTCCAAGTTTTTTCATCACTTACCAATTGTTTAATTTATTATTTCACGTAATATTAGTGTATTTTAAAGTAGTTTTCAAATTGAGGGATTAAAAATTTTCTGGTTTATTATCAGCAAACCTATAAGCTTTCCAATAGTTGGTCTTTTTGATATATTGGTGGTCGTAAGCTTTCACATATATCTAAGACAATAAACAATAATTATGAACTCTATCATCAAATGATGGATGTCCTGCAAATATTTCCCAAATCAACATCCCAATATCTATTTCTTTTGTGTTCTTTGTATTAATTCTGTCTTTAATACTAAGCTAAGGAAAGACAGTACATTTTCAATATGTTTTCTGTAGAGGTTGGAATCGTCCAAAAAAATCCTTAGTCAACTAAATTTTTTTTTAATATATAGTAAAAATATTTCTTTTTTTTTTTATTTGCAAATTACAAGTTCGTTTCCATTTGAATCTTTCATTTTTTCCACACAAAACCATGTGTTACAATTCGTTTTTTAAAAGGTCTTCTGGAACAACCACTTAAATCATTGGAACTTGAAGCCAATGAACTAATGGACCTTGTATCGGAAGTGTTTATTAGTTCACATGTAAAATTATCATCAACAACGCACTACTATTGTCGTCATCTTCATATTGTTGGTATTGATACTCTTCCGCATAGAAAGTTTTCCATTTTGAATGATAAAACACAAAAATCTTAATTGGTCAGACAATAATAATATTAACATAGTATTAATATTAGCATTAGTATTAGCATTACAGTCGGACCTCGTTATAACGGATTTTTGTTATACCGAACAAAATCTTTTCCCGAATTTTTTTTATTAAATAAAAAATTTTGTTATAACGAATTTATATGATAAACCTCGTTATTCCGTATAACGAACATTTATTAAAAATTTTTATATATTACTAGTCGCGTTATACCGAATTTTTTGATGAATACAGATCGTCTATACTAAAAATGTTCAAGTTGTATTTTTACAATACATTCATTGTTTGAAGACTGCATTATCATTCGATCTTTTTTCAACTATTTTTTATTTTTTTTTACAAAGGATACATTTGTTTGTATTTTTACTTGATCTTTTTGTTTTCCTTTTATTATTACAAGACATTCATCTGCAATTGCTCATTCGCCATATTTTATTTTATAGCTTCTATCCAAGATACTCTTTAAAGGTTTCAAATTATAACAATAATTAATAAAATAAAATTATTAAACAGTTAATAGAAATGTGGGTGTTGCTTTTAACAATTATTTATTAAACACTTTGTCAAGTAAATAAAATGCCATTGATTTAATTGATAAAAATAGAGAAATGGAAAAAGAAATCTAAAAGTAAAAAAAAATCCATATTGTGTTTTTCTTTGAAGTGAATGGTTAGTTTATTTTAAAAACGTCAAATTGTTTTTCATCAATATTGAAGTTTGAGAATATAAATAAAGCTTAAATTTTTGTCATGAAATTTAAATTTTCTTATTGAAATAAAATCCCGTCTGTCTGTACACAAATCAAAATTATAATAATAATAAAAATAATAAAAGTAGGCAAATGCCATTGATTAATTGAATCAAGCTACCAGTCTTTCCAAGCTTATCCTGTTATACATATATCAATTGATGCAAAAAAATATTTTTTGTTTAAAAGGAAAAAAACTAAATTCTTCTTTTAAAAATAATATATATACACATACCATGAACCAATGTATATTTAGAAAAGGAGTAGATACTTCAAACATCAAGAAAACTGGTCCATAATAATTTAAAAATGGACGCTTGTTTCAAAAAAAAAAAAAAAAAAAAAATTTTAATTAACATGTTTATAATTAAGTATTTATTATTTATAAAAATCTGAAAATTTACTTACAAAAGCAAATAAATAAACCCCAAAACAGCATGCACCATGTAAAACAAACCCAATTCCAAAATCTTTTACATAATAAAGAGATATAAGAGCATCCCAAAGAAAATAGCTAAAATAGTATGTAATTTATATAGTTGGAATTATTTATTATTATCATTATTATTTTCATTAAAAAAAAAATACAACTCACCCACAAGAAAAAGCATAAACATTTCCAGCATAAATATTATAGCCAAATACTTTATCTTTTTCTAGTTCTTTATCAAACAACAAAGGGACTGAAAGATATACAACCAAGCAACAATGAACCATGCTTACAAAATGAATATCCCAATTAACTCGTTTAACACCTTGTAAGCTATTATAGATTTTTGGGAAAAAAAAAGAGGATAAAATCCTTGAAATAGCCAATGTAATGCTACATGCTAATGTTGAAAGTAAGAGAACGTGCCAGTGGTTTACAAGTTTAGGGAGCGAAATGGCATTAAAAAAATCTTCAAATAATTTGTGTTGTTGCCCTGATGAAGTTTCCATTTTGTTCTATTATATTGATTTTCACGTGTTTATGTGTTTGTTTTGGTTTGAAATTGGTTTTGTATAAAACGTCACGAAAAAAAAAAAAAAATTTTTTTTACCCAAGCTAACCACACTTGTATGAAATGATTTGTATAACATTGATAATTGATAATTTATTAAACTTTCACGATGAGCACTAACAGAAAAATAATTCATTTATATATATATATATATATATACGAATGTTTATAAAAAATTAGTTGAAAATTGTAAAAAAAGGTAAAAATCTTTTTAACCACATATTATACTAGAGGTTGGGATCGTCCAAAAAATCCTTAGTCGACTACTATTAGTTGGTCAAAAATTTCTTTAGTAGACTAATTAGTTGTTGACTATTTAGTCGACTATTAGTTGATTATTTTAGTTGACTATTTTAGTCGATTATTTAGTCGATTATTTTTAGTCGACTAATTGACTAAATTTTTTTTTGTAATAATAATAATAATATTTCTTTTTTTTTTATTTGCAACTTACGAATTCATTTCTATTTGAATCTTTTGCTTTTTCAAAATACTTCCACACAAAACCATGTGTTACAATTCGTTTTTAAAAAGGTCTTCTGGAACCACCACTTAAATCATTGGAACTTGAAGCCAATGAACTAATGGACCTTGTATCGGAAGTGTTTATTAGTTCACATGTAAAATTATCATCAACAACACACTACTATTGTCGTCATCATCATGTTGTTGGTATTGATCTCTTCCGCATAGAAATTTTCCATTTTGAATGATAAAACACAAAAATCTTAATTGGTCAGACAATAATAATATTAACATAGTATTAGTAGTCGATTAAAATAGTTGTTCAAAAAAAGTTTAATTGACTAAAATAGTTGACTAATTATCGATTAAATTAGTCGACTATTTTAGTCGATTTCAACCTCTAATTATCATCGCGCATAACAATTTATTATAAAACCTATATCAAAAGAATCAAAAAAACTATTTAATTATTCGGTATTTGTCGAGTTTCCTTTCACATCAATCACAGCTTGAACCCTTCGAGGCACACTTTTTTACTAATCGTAAGTAATTATAATCATTAATTTCTTACGTTTTGCATCAATTCTCAACAAATATTTACGAATTATTTTTCTATTAGTGCAACTTAAAATATTTCTACTCGTGTGAAAATTTAATTTAATGTAATATAATAATAGTAGTAGTAGTCCGGCAATTGTCAAGAAAAATGAACTGGTAGTGGTGATGAAATCGTTAAAATTGCCTTAATTCACGGCAATGAGGAAATAGAAATTATTCTGAAACGGAAAGGGAAAGATGGCAAAGTAAAAAATTTAAAAGTTCCGCTTTATCGCCAAATGAGAAGAAAGGACGCGGAAGGAGATTCACTTTATTGTCCAGTTCATCAAAATCAATCAAAGAAACATAAAACTGCTAGTTGTTGTGACAAAAGTCAAGGCGTTAAAGCTTATTCTCGCTGCTTGAAATTTAGAAAATTAACCACTGAAATTAAAGAATGTTCAGACTGTCAAAGTTCCCAATTATTTACTAAGCAAATCCGCAAGCAAGTGAAATGTGAACGAGTAATCGACTGAACGATTTGTCACATTAAACGATTGAGAAGTGTATTTTCCGAAATTTTTTGGTGATCAACGTCGAAATTCTATTAATTCGTAATACGTGACTCAAGTAGTGAAATTTGCCGATCATCATTAAATTTTCTGGTGATAATAAATATTAGT